TTCATCCATTCTTTTGTTGCCTTCAGGAACACATAACAGGAAGGCCCCTCCTGGTACAAAAATCACACAAAAGCAAGCAAGAGCCAATCCTGGATCCTCATCTGCTTTTCATAAGCAGCCTCCTTGCCTTGGAAAAAGTGTGTCTGTGGCATACAGGCCCAGAAAGTGTGCATGCCTGCCTGTAGCTGAGAGCCTCCTCTGAAACAGAACTTGCCTCCTTGCCTTGAAAAGAGTGTGTGTGTGTGGTGTGCGTACAGGCCCAGAAAGCATGTGTACCTTCCTGCAGCCGAGCACCTCTTCTAGAGTAAGAATGAAATGGAACTTGTCTCCTTGCCTTGGAAAGAGTGTGTGCTGGCCCAAAAAGCACACGCACCCACCTGCAGCTGATCAACTCAACTAGAGTAAGAAACAGAACTTTTCTCCTTGTCTTGGAAAGTGTATGTGTGTGGCGTGCAGGCCCAGAAAGCACACATGTGCTTGTCTGCAGCCGACCGCCTGTTCTCTGGAGCAGAGAAACAGGTAAGAAGTCTTCTTAAAACATGCACCTGCATGCAGTTGAGCACCTCTATTCTCAAGTAGAGAAACAGGTAAGAAGCCTCCTTAAAGCACGCATTAGCCTGCATTTGCGTGCCTCTCCTCTGGAGTAAAAACACTACCAGCTTAAATGCCTGAAATGAAAGATAGGGGAGTCTGGTGATCCTCTCCCCCACAATGGGCTGATAATGAAAAAAACCAAATATCTGCCCTCCCAATTTTGGAAGGCTCCCCAAAAACCAGGACACAAAACAAGTCAAGGTTTACTTGGATTGCACAACTGTACCTTATAGTAATGGGTAATATTACTTCTTATTAGAACACTTACAATAGCAATACTCATCCTTATATTAAAGAGAGAAGAGGAAATAATGAGTAATGGCTAACTGTATTTACAACAAATTATTTGAACTATGGATGAAATAAAGGGCATTCCTTTTCCAACCAGAGAAATTAGACTGGGACAGATTTTAAGAGCTGCTTCAGATCTGTCTCAAATTTATAGCAATCACCTATTTAATGTAATAGCAATCACCTATTTAATCTCCAGCAAAGGATCACCGCCTTGTCGGGGCGCTGGAGCTTGAGCACCTCAATGATGTCATGAGCGAAACCGTGAAGGGACACCCAAGACGGGACGGTTGTGGCAGAGAGGTCAGACCAAGCGTGATCCCTGGGGAAGGCAATGGCAAACCACTCCAGTATCCTTGCCAAGAAAACTAAATGGACCAGTACAACCAGAGATATGTCGGTATGCCATTGGAGGATGGGACTCCCAGGTCGGAAGATGGCCAAAATGCTACTGGGGAGGAGCAGAGGATAAGTTCAACTAGCCCCAGATGTGATGACGCAGCTAGCTCAAAGCCGAAAGGAAGGCTAGCGGCCGACGGTACTGGAGGTGAACGACGAATCCGCTGCTCTAAAGATCAACACACCATAGGAACCTGGAATGTAAGATCTATGAGCCAGGGCAAATTGGACGTTGTTATTGGTGAGATGTCAAGACTAAAGATAGACATTCTGGGGGTCAGAAAACTGAAATGGGGGAATGGGCCACTTCACATCAGATGACCACCAGATCTACTACTGCGGAAAAGAGGAACATCGAAGAAATGGAGTAGCCTTCATAATTAATAAGAAATTAGCTAAAGCAGTGCTTGGATACAACCCAAAAAATGACAGAATGATCTCAATTCGAGTGCAAGGAAAGCCTTTCAACATTACAGTGATCCAAATATACGCCCCAACCACAGCTGCTGAAGAAGCAGAAGTAGATCAGTTCTATGAGGATCTGCAGGAACTACTGGATAATACACCAAAAAGAGACATTATTTTCATTACAGGAGACTGGAATGCCAAGGTGGGAAGTCAAATGACAACAGGGATCACAGGCAAGCATGGTCTGGGAGAACAAAATGAAGCGGGACGCAGGCTGATAGAATTTTGCCAGGAAAACTCGCTGTGTATAATGAATACTGTCTTCCAACAACCTAAAAGACGGCTTTACACATGGACCTCACCAGACGGTCAACACCGAAATCAGATTGACTACATCCTTTGCAGCCAAAGGTGGTGGACATCCATCCAGTCGGTGAAAACAAGACCTGGGGCTGACTGTAGCTCAGATCACGAACTTCTTATTGCCCAATTTAGAATAAAACTAAAGAGATCAGGGAAAATACACAGACCAGTTAGATATGATCTCACTAACATTCCTAGCGAATATACAGTGGAAGTGAAGAACAGATTTGAAGGACTAGATTTCAGTAAACAGAGTCCCAGAAGAACTATGGACAGAAGTCCGAGACATTGTTCAGGAGGCGGCAACAAAGTACGTCCCAAAGAAAAAGAAAACCAAGAAGGCAAAATGGTTGTCTGCTGAGACACTGGAAGTAGCCCAAGAAAGGAGGAAAGCAAAAGGAAACAGGGATAAGGGGAGATATGTCCAGTTAAATGCTCAATTCCAGAGGTTAGCCAGAAGAGATAAGGAACTATTTTTAAATAAGCAATGCATGGAAGTGGAAGAAGACAACAGAATAGGAAGGACAAGAGACCTCTTCCAGAAAATTAGAAACATTGGAGGTAAATTTCAGGCAAAAATTGGTATGATAAGAAACAAAGATGGCAGGGACCTAACAGAAGCTGAAGAGATCAAGAGAAGGTGGCGAGACTATAAAGAAGATCTGTATAGGAAGGATAATAATATTGAGGATAGTTTTGACGGTGTGGTGAATGAATTAGAACCAGACATCCTGAGGAGTGAGGTTGAATGGGCCTTAAGAAGCATTGCTAACAACAAGGCAGCAGGAGACGACGGGATCCCAGCTGAACTGTTTAAAATCTTAAAAGATGATGCTGTCAAGGTGATGCATGCCATTTGCCAGCAAATATGGAAAACACAAGAATGGCCATCAGACTGGAAAAAATCAACTTATATCCCCATACCAAAAAAGGGAAATGCGAAAGACTGCTCAAACTTCCGTACAGTGGCCCTTATTTCTCATGCCAGTAAGGTAATGCTCAAGATCCTGCAAAGAAGACTCCAGCAATACATGGAGCGAGAGTTGCCAGATGTTCAGGCTGGGTTTAGAAAAGGTAGAGGAACGAGAGACCAAATTGCCAATATCCGCTGGATAATGGAGAAAGGCAGGGAGTTTCAGAAAAACATCTACTTCTGCTTCATTGACTATTCTAAAGCCTTTGACTGTGTGGATCATAATAAATGGTGGCAAGTTCTTAGTGGGATGGGCATCCCAAGCCACCTTGTCTCTCTCCTGAGGAATCTGTACAAGGACCAAGTAGCAATAGTCAGAACTGACCATGGAACAACAGACTGGTTCAAGATTGGGAAAGGCGTACGGCAAGGCTGCATCCTCTCACCCAACCTTTTTAACTTGTATGCAGAACACATCATGCGATGTGCGGGGCTGGATGAATGCAAAGCTGGGGTGAAAATTGCTGGAAGAAACATTAACAACCTCAGATATGCAGATGACACCACTTGATGGCCAAAAGCGAGGAGGAGCTGAGGAGCCTTCTAATCAAGGTGAAAGAAGAAAGCGCAAAAGCCGGGTTGCAGCTAAACATCAAAAAAAACCAAGATTATGGCAACAAGAATGATTGACAACTGGAAAATAGAGGGAGAAACCGTGGAGGCCGTGACAGACTTTGTATTTCTAGGTGCAAAGATTACTGCAGATGCAGACTGTGGCCAGGAAATCAGAAGACGCTTACTTCTTGGGAGGAGTGCAATGTCCAATCTCGATAAAATAGTAAAGAGTAGAGACATCAGACTGGCAACAAAGATCCGCCTAGTCAAAGCCATGGTATTCCCTGTAGTAACCTACGGATGTGAGAGATGGACCTTAGGGAAGGCTGAGCGAAGGAAGATCGATGCTTTTGAGCTGTGGTGTTGGAGGAAAGTTCTGAGAGTGCCTTGGACTGCGAGAAGATCCAACCAGTCCATCCTCCAGGAAATAAAGCCCGACTGCTCATGGAGGGAAGGATACTAGAGACAAAGCTGAAGTCCTTTGGCCACATCATGAGGAGACAGCAAAACCTAGAGAAGACAATTATGCTGGGGAAATGGAAGGAAAAAGGAAGAGGGGCCGACCAAGGGCAAGATGGATGGATGGCATCCTTGAAGTGACTGGACTGACCTTGAAGGAACTGGGGGTGGGGACGGCCGACAGGGAGCTCTGGCGTGGGCTGGTCCATGAGGTCACGAAGAGTCGGAGACGACTGAACGAATGAACAACAACAACACCTATTTAATGTAGATCAGATGTCTTCCAAATGTTTTCAGTGTCAGCTCCTATGATTCCCCATAATTGCCCACATTAACTGGACCAATGGAAGTCATAGGGTAAAATATATGAGTCACCAAGGTTACAGAATATGAATAAGTCCAATCCTTTTATATGCAGTATTTTTTCAATACTGATTAGCATCTTTCCTCAGCAGAATTGCTTCTCCATTTGATTTAAATTATAAGGCATGCAAAAACAACAATAGATGCCAGTTTCCATAGCATGAATGTACATTTATATTTACATTTGCATTACATTATTTCTATCCCGCCCATATCAGCCCGAAGGCCACACAGGGTCAGCACAATTCGATGCCATAAAAAATACATATATTGGTAAAGCAAAAAAAGAAACATTATAGTACATTTAAACATAAAGACAGTGCATAATAACAATTTAAAAAACATATGACATATGTAGAATGTTTGTCTTATTTGAACCCCTCTTAAAGGAAAGGCAACACATTTAAAATGTACCTGTTGGTCATGGCATTGTAGCACACTCAACAGAGCTAAATCCGACTTACTTATGAATTACGAACTGTATCATTTGGAGAAAATAAGAAAAAGACCAGACTTTTGTTAGCTTCCCTTTATGGTCTGCTCTTGTTGGTGAGCATTATTCATTAATTTAGGGAACTGCCTGTGCTGGCCCAGGCAATCCTGTGTCTCATTTGATAATGGGCTGGGAATCCAGTGGATTATTGCAGGGATTTTATCTTGCCCTAATCTCTTGGGAGAAATGTTCAAACAGCTGGGAAGGACAAGAAGGAGCTGCATTCAGTGACCGGAATTCCTTGAAACAGGATAATATTCATAAATGCCGTAGAATTTGCCTTTACAGCAAAATGAATCTTTTCTGTTTTTCACTGGTAAGTTTTTCTTTAGTCTTCCAGACTGTTACTGAGTTTGTAAATGTAAGCTTCAGTCAGGTGACAGAGATTAAAGGGGTTAGAAAAAGAACAGCAAGGATACAGTGTGAAACCGTCTATCTGGACTAGTGAAGGAGGCAGCAATAAGTCTTAAAAGCTATAAAGGAAGCAGGTCATTGGGAAAAAAATAAAACTAGTGGGGGTTTGTTGGGCAGATATCATGTAGTGCTTATGAACTGCTGTTTTATTGATAAGGTGGAGTCCTTTTTCTTCGTCATCATGATTTATCTTTGTAGCATGTATAAAGAGAAGAATTTGAATTCAGTTTCTTACACAATGTTTTGGAAATATTGACATTTATATGTTTGCATCATGATTGAGTAAAACCTTTCTTAGTGTTCATTATATTCATCTCATAAGCTTCTAAAACCCAGATTGGACACTTACACTCTGAAATGTAATGAAGCCCTTGCCTTGGATATCTTTCATTCTATGCTCAGTTTATGGTTGAAAGACTGCATGCATTTTGATATGCAGAAAGTAAAATGAAATTATTTAAAAAAGAATGAATGCTCTTTTGTCTTTATGCAAAATCATATTACTACCCTGTCAGTGTTTATTGAATATGTGGTCTTTATTGAAAAATACAGAAAGTCAGTAGTGTTTTGATTTAGTGCAAGACATCCAAGTATTTTGTTGCTCTTTATTTTTAGGTATATCATCAGCTATTCAGTTCTCAAAGTGTCTCTTACCATAAATAAATATAAACAGCAACGACAAGAGCATTTAACAAGGCAACAGTCCATTAAGAATACAAAGAAGGTGTTTTAGAAGTCAGATCAACAATCAGGTCATACACATTAACATGGCTTCTAACCCTCAAAATCCTGTGGATGAGATCGGTCTTAATGATTTTTTTAAAAAATCTATCAAGAGCTTTGATGCAGTTCCCCTGACTGTAATATTATAAAGAAAGAATTGCAGAAAGCTTGGCATTACATATGTGAGAAATTATATAATTATAAAAGAGGTGTATGCAATTGTAATATTGGGGACAATACTACAGGCCATTTCTGCCAGTGGCTGTACATACATGACCCACATGTTGTATAAGCCATATTTTGTAAACCATTTGTTCCTTTTCTATCATCCTATTTTATTTTGGAAAAGGGATTAGAGGTTCAGACAAACTGAATGACCAAAATCTCTGTGTTTAAATGAGTCATCCTCTTTAAATAAAGCATTCGTCTCATCTTAGCTTGCATTTTTTATTTTGTCCAGAAATTTAATTTTAAGAGGAATGAATACAGAAGCTGTTTATGACTGAGAAGTGGTAAAAGGATGGTATTGATTCTGTGATTGATGGTTTCAGCATATAATTATATATATTGTTCTCAAAAGTAACTTTTCTAAGTCCTGATTTTTAAACAAAAAATCCCCCTGATCCTTTGCAGTTATCTGTATGTATACTGCCCCAGGACAGAGGCAAACAAGTGGAAGAAAAATTAAAATTTAAAAAATGCAAAATTGCACATGCATTTGCAATTCAAGTCTTCCATTACACTATGTGACACTGCAAGCCACTGTAGTTTACACATCATTTGGGACACGTGCTGCTTTGCTGGTATCCCCAAAATAATATTGCCCAAACTGGGAATCCCTAGGCCATTTTTCTTCCTTTTTTAATTTCTATCCCACCTTTCTCCCAAAATTGGGATGCAAAGCACCTTACAATTTAAAAAAAGATAAACAGGCAGCATTAAAATAGGATTAAATTGTTGTCAATATTACAATTATTTAAAATTAAACTTAAAAAGACAAAATATCATTAAAATAGCAATTAAAGTAGATTTGTCTAAGAAAAACAACAATACAGTATTCTAAATCCATTGTTTAAAAACTTTCCATTTTTTAATTTTTATTCTATTGGACAGTACTTATACACTGCTCATTGAGCCCCCAGGTGTGCAATGAGTTAAACCACCAAGCTACTGAACTTGCTGACCGAAAGTTAGCTGGTTTGAATTCAGGGAGCAGGCTGAGCTCCCACTGTCAGCCCCAGCTTCTGCCAACCTAGCAGTTCAAAAACATGCAAATGTGAATAGATCATTAAGTACTGCTCCAGTGGGAAGGTAACAGTGTTCCATGCAGTCATGAGGTGTCTTCGGACAACACTGGCTCTTTGACTTAGAAATGTAGATGAGCACCAGCCCCCAGAGTCAGGCATGAATGCACTTAATGTCAGAAGAAATCTTTACCTTTACCTATATACTACTCAGCAGAATAAAGTCACATTTAAAATAGTAGAAAAAGAAAATAGGACATTAAGTATAGCAGTGTCAGAATCCAGAAAAACCTTATGTAAATAAATGCGTATTAATGCTTTCCACATTGTTTGTCTGTTAAACCATCTGTGAAAGGATAGTCCAGATGACCCACTGCTGTTGAGGCCTCAATTCAGGAGAAATACATGGCCACAACCTAGCAAGGACTCAGTTGAAGGTTGATTGGGTATCTCAAGGGGATAGTGGCAAGCTAGGTACGCCTGTCCCATCTCATTGGGACTTGAAATGTCAATTAGATAAGGCTATAATATGTGAACAACTCATGAGATGAAATGATGGAAAAGATGATAATGCAAAGTAAGTAAGTTAAAGAAGAAGACCACAACACAGATCAAAAGACTCAGGGCCCGTCCAGACAGGCCCATATCCTGAGACCTGTTTTACCGGAGTTTTTAAACTAATTCTCCAGTAGAAAAGCATTAATTCAGAACAAACCAAGGCTTCCCTTGTTTGTTCACAATTAATTTGATGCCCCATTAGATCCAGGCCTTCCTGAAAGACCGGAATCTAATGGGGTATTGGGCCTGTGATGACTCATGTGTAATCCTGGGACTACCCAAGGGTGAGTGCCCATTGGTATCTCTCACCTTTTGGGCTCTTGTAGCCCAAAGGTGTGGGATGGTACCCACCCTCTCCCCCAGGCCCCAAATATCCCCTAAAAGTAAAGTAAAAAAATACCTGGCTGCCATAAGATTTCTCCTTTCACCTTCCTGGCGCAACAAAATGATGTGTCAGGAGAGGTGTCTATGCCAAAGTTTTTCAGATTGCCTTTAAGCCCATCTTTAAATCTCTTTTCCTGTCCAGTAACATTCCGTTTTCCATTCTTGAGTTGGGAGTATAGTAACTGCTTTGGGAGATGGTGATTGGGCATTCAGACAACATGGCCAGTCCAGCAGAATTGATGGCATAGGAGCATCACTTCAATGCTGGTGGTCTTTGCTTCTTCCAGCATGCTGACATTTGTGCGCCTGTCTTCCCAAGAGATTTTCAGGATTTTTCAGAGGCAACACTGATGGAATTGTTCCAGGAGTTGCATGTGATGTCTGTAGAAAGTCCACATTTAGCAGGTGTATAGCATAGTTGGGAGGACAGTAGCTTTATAAACAAGCACCTTGGTATCCTTACAGATGTCCCGGTTCTCAAACACTCTCTGCTTCATTCAGAAAAATACTGCACTCGCAGAGCTCAGGCAGTATTGTATTTCAGTGTCAATGTTGACTTTTGTGGAGGGGTGGCTGTCAAGATAGTGGAAATGATCAATATTTTCTAATTTTACATCATTAAGCTATATTTCTGGCATTGCAGAGGGATTGGCTGGTGACTGCTGGAAGAGCACTTTGGTTTTCTCAATGTTCAATGAGGCCAAGCTTTTCCTATGCTTCTGCAAAGGTGTTTAGAGTGGCTTGTGGGTCTTCTTCTGAATGCGCACAGACAATTTTATCATCAGCATATTGGAGTTCTATAACAGAAATTGTTGTGACCTTGGCTTTGGCTTTCAGTCTGCTGAGGTTAAATAGCTTGCCATCTGTCCGATGGATGATTTCTATTCCAGTGGGATGCTTTCCATCAACAAGATTAAGCATCATAGCAATAAAAATGGATAATAAGGTTGGGGCAATAACACATCCCTGTTTCACACCTGATTCCACCTTAAATGGGACACTTTGGGAGCCATTGCTCTCCAAGAAAGAATGCATACATAAAAGATGCACAAAGGAAATGTGCATATTTCAAATTTACACATGCTACAGAAGGAGAAGAAGAAGAAGAAGAAGAAGAAGAAGAAGAAGAAGAAGAAGAAGAAGAAGAAGAAGAAGAAGAAGAAGAAGAAGAAGAAGAAGAAGAAGAAGAAGAAGAAGAAGAAGAAGAAGTATGGATTATTGATGTCGCCATACCTGGTGACAGTCGCATTGAGGAAAAACAACAGGAAAATCTAAGCCGTTATCAGGGCCTCAAAATCGAACTGCAAGGCTCTGGCATAAACCAGGACAGGTGGTTGCAGTGGTCATCGGTACACTGGGTCCTGTGCCAAAAGACTTCAGACAATTTTGGAAACAATAAACATTGACAAAATCACAATCTGTCAACTGCAAAAGGCCACCTTACTTGGATCTGCGTGCATCATTCAAAAATACATCACACAGTCCTAGACGCTTGGGAAATGTTCAACTTGTGATTTTGTAATATGAAATCCAGCATATATATCTCGTTTGCTGTGATAGTGGAAGAATAAAAATGCAGTATGAACACAATAAAAACTAATGATACACTTTCTAGACATTAGGAGCAATGTACTAAGTCAATCATGCATAAAAAAACATAGACACATTAGAAAAACTAAGCAATAATAATAACAATAATAATCAAAGACTGAAATGGATTTTCTCACAAGGGCATAGTGATAAAACTGGGTGAAGCCTGGAAATGGACATGGGACAAAATGTCAAGAATGGATATGGACTTTACACGTGTGCATATCCCTTTCAGGAACACAAAGCTGATTTTTTGGTGGTTGAGATGCAGGATGTTGGTCAATCCTATTGCCCTTACACAGTCAAGGTTTCCGTAGGATGGTTAAACAATATACAATTATACATCCATGTAAAAAATGTGAAGCACAGTGAAGGCTTCACGGTACATCTGATATAAAAATAT